CCATATCGTGTACTCTGCAAGATAAGCACAGTATAAGTACTATTTTGGATGAAATTAGAGAAAATATCTGTTGTCAAATATCAATGTGTACTGAACTTTTATACATTTTCTTTCAGGCTGTGAAATTATTTTCAAAAACGGGGATGTTAAAACGCTTAGAGCAGTTATTTTAAGTGCTGTGTGTGATGCTCCTGCCAGATGTGCTCTACAAAATTTTGTTCAGTCAATGGATTCTTTGGTTGTGGAACTTGTTATGAGAATGGTCAGTCTGCTAAATCAGGTAATGGTGGTACTATGACATATCCATACAACTTGGATGACCAATATAAACACAGAGGCTTTAATGAAGAAAGAACACACAGTGAGACAGTAGAGATAGTAAAACAGGTAGTAGAGTCAAACACCCCATAAAAGGTGTAAAGGGAATAAGTATGTTACATTTGTTACCAGTTTGATATAATTAGGGGAGTTACAATTGATTATATGCATTGCGTTGTATTAGGTGTAATGAAGTCGTTATTAAATTTGTGGTTGCAAATAAGTCATAGGCAGGAAGAATATTTTATTGGAGATAGCCTAGTCATTTTAAATCAAGGAATTTTAGGTATGACACCCCCTTACTTCATAACTTGGTCACCAAGAGGTTTTTCGAATATTGCTTATTGGAAGGCATCAGAATATAGAACCTATTTGCTATATTACTCAGTGTCTTGTCTCATTGGTATTTTACCTGCAAATTTTTTATGAATTTTTTCTGTCTAAATAAAACTATGTTCATACTGCTTCAAAAATCAATTACTAGATCATGTTTGGCTACAGCACAGGATTTGATCAGTATTATCAAATTGTCATGCACTCTTGCATTCCCACAAAAGTAAAAGATTTAGGGCCGCTATGGGCACACTCTTGTTTTTTTTCTACGAGGACTTGAATGGGGATTTGAGAAAAACTATTTCATGGCACACAACAAGTTGCTTTACAAATTTCAAAACAGATTGTGATGCATCAGCAGTTGCCATTTTTAGCTAATGATTTGGAACTGGATTCTCCAGGACACATATTTTATTTGAGCTTGAAACGCAGATATGCTTCAAGGAATAAATATTCCATTTCATATATATATGCTTCAGGTACATTTAAAGGACAATATTGGTGCCAGTCATTATAGCATATGTGATAGAACTGGTTAAACACGTTCCAGATATTATTTTATCACAGGGATCATTGCTACGATAGATGCGTAATCAATGTTTCAACAATCGGAAGTGACGAACGTAAAAGGAAAACACGAGTTATCCCTTTATATAACTGACTGAAGTGACGAGTGATAACAGATACATGGGCGAATTTATGCTCACTAATAATTCTTTCGAACACCAAAAGTTGTTGTGTGGGCCTGTGGAAGGATATCTGACAATTTATAAAAAAAAATATGACTGTCACTAGATCACTAGATAGGAGAACATGAAAATTTTTTAGAAAAGGTCTGTGTATTACCATGTTTTTATAAGTGTAGAATGAATACACACACGTGAATGTACGGAATGCTTCTATTTTTCTCGTGTTATCTAATGACATTCAATTACTTTCTTGAATTGTAAGATATCCGCTTACAGTATTGTAATTAATTCTATCAGAACTCTAACAACCTTCTTTAACCCTTGTATTTTACATGTTTTAGATAAATAGAATTAACATTAGTCTGGGTGATGATTATTATCCACCACCTAATTTTTTGAAAGATCTAAATGTGGTTCTCTTTCTATCACATTTAACTGATTACTTTCAAGAACCAATTTTGATGTTGCTGTGGTCTTTACGGTTTTTCCAGACTTCATCTTCAGGTTTATTTGGCCGTAAAGACCTCCCTGACTTGTTGACAGATTCGTACACCCAAGAAGTTTGTAACTTAAAGGAGCTAAATCACTAATATTTTTGGCCTAGAAATTGGCACAAATGGGTCGCAAAACATATAATAATGTAATATGAATTTATATAAACTGTTTTACATTCAATCGTTTCCGTTTTACTGTGAATTGTCATCAGTCATGTTCGGCGAAATACGCCAGAAGTCTCAACCGAGAGACAATTTCTAGCGTCTGGTTATTCAAGTCAACAACGATAGTATATATTGCGCATGCTCTCCAAATAAGCATATGGCTTCACCGTTTGACATGACTTGTGGAATATGTCTAGCCTCATTCTTTGAGCACCTTGTTACAAATGGCACTGAAACGCATTATGGTACACGATTCGTGTACCAATGGTAAAATGTTTATTTTGTTTTAAATATTGGATATCAGAAGCCCATCTTTTCCAGGTAAGACCACAACACCAATGCTGATTTAAATTGCGAAAAAAATTTGGATGATATTGAGTTACGGACTTGGCTACTTTTAGTCAAAGAGGTCTGAACAATCAACTACAACATTGATATAATGTGAACAAAACTCTGTGTTTGGAATTCAACATTTTCATCACCCAGGAAAAGAACACTCGACAAGAATTATGCAGATAGATGTTTGAAGGGTTTTAACACATTAGATTAGCTTGCTCTATAATTGTATTCCCATTCGCCTTGTTATAGGTCTTGTGCACTTATTATCTAGTTGTGGATGACTCTTAAAATAAACTAGATTCCATTCATTGTTGTATTTACTTCAATAGTATCATAAAATGGTGACCCCAAGGACCTGTATGATGTCAAGTTTCACATGTGGCCATAGTAGTATTTGGTTAGTTTTAACTTCTTGAGAAAAAAATGAAATGAAATGGGGTTTAAGGTCTACCCTGACTAGGTCATTGAAGACGGGCATACGCTATAAGGGAATTTTTGACGAACAGCGTCGCTTTAGACTACTCAGATTCCAATTGCCAATGTGTACACAGGACCTAAGGTTTTCGTCCCATCTGAACGACTAGACCTCCAGACAAGCAAGTCAGCGTCTTACCCATTTAGCCATCGTGGCTCCCTCTTGAGAAAAAGAATGCATGATGATTGTTATTGCTATGGTTATGTGCCGTGTGGAGATTTTTTGCCTGCGCAGCTGCGTTGCCACCAAACAAACAACAATTGGAGACTTAGACTGAAAAGTTCTGAAGATTGTTCTTGTATGATATGGAAACTGCACTAACAATAAACAGCAGAAGAAATATTGTAAACGTGAATGCAATACACAGGGGAATACTACTCACAGATAAGCCATGGAATCAAGTATGGGGTTGGGGATGGCTACTTGTATGCTATATTATCGCCCTGCTTAAACTGGCGTGTGGGGGGGGGGGGTTAACGCGTGCGTGTTGCATCTTTGAGTGAAGTGTATGTGTACTAGTGAATGTCATGCGCTTGTATATATACTCCCAGAAGTGTGAATGTCATGCTGTGGAATAAGACAATCTTTTTGAAGTGTCAATGAAATGAGCACGTCGGTGGAGTGTTGTTGGAGGGGGTTCTAAAGTGAACACGTCGCTTGAAGTGTTCCTAGAATTGTGTTAAAAATGAACATTTCGATGAAGTTTTTTAACAACTTTTTTAAGTGTGTAAGAAATGAACAATTCGTTTAAAGTGTTCCTAAGAGTGTGTAAGAAATGAACACTTCAGAGGAAGTGAACACTTCATTTCGGTACGGGCAGAAAGAACATCCATTGCCGTAGACCTTACCGTGGACAAATCCTCACTCCTCATCGACGTGTCGAACGTCTACAGTTTGCCCAACAACACCAGAGTTGGCGACACAGACAATGGAGAACTGTTCTGTTCACAGATGAGAGTCGGTATTGCGTATCAACTGCAGATGGCAGGACCAGAATATGGCGTCGACGTGGCCAGAGTTATTCTGACCAATGTGTCAAGGAACGAGACTCATGGGGATGTCCAAGCATAATGGTTTGGAATGGAATCGGCCTGAACCAGAGAGTGGGTACTGTGGTGTTCCAAAATCTTGGTCCAGGGAGAAGAGGCGGCATAACAGCAGTGCGCTACATCAATCAAGCTCTCAGAACCCCGGTCATACCACATTTCGCACGTCACCGAAACAACGTTTTCGAGCATGACAACGCCTGTGTCCACACCGCCAAGGCTACTCGGACTTTCTACAGCAGAACGGTGTCAACGTTATGCACTGACAAGCCCTTAGTCCGGACTTAAACCCGATTGAAATCTTTGGGATGAAATTCAGGGGAGACTTAATAACGTCGCACCGAGACCAAACACAGCCGATGGATTGCGCCAGGCTTTTCTGAAAGTGTGGTTCCAGGTGCCAATGGCGTTCTTCAATCGTCTTGTCCACTCCATGTACAGACGCTGCACTGCTGTTATTGACACTAGCGATGGACACACCAGATACGGATGTATAGACTGTGTACAGAATCTAAATCTTCTCGTAATGCCTTGGAATTGTGATGAATTAATCACTAATGTGTCAACATACTGTTCCAAAAAAAAATTGCTTTGATCCATTTAGTAAGTCGTTTTCTAGAATGATTTGATTAAAGTGCCTCTCTGATTTTGAAATCGTACTAACGTTTTTATTTATTTTTATTTTTTTTTTTTGCTGTTTAGTATAAACATTATTTTCAATCTAAATGTAAATTTGTTTAATTTCGAAACAAAACTCTCATTTTATGGTTTATTTTTGAATTAAGTAATATATTATGATGTCACTAAAAACCTTTTACGTTCTTAAGGCATCTATAGGTCCTAATCCAGCCCTGGTGGTGGCCAATTTGTGAGTCTTTTATCTATTTGGTAAAGCCATTTCGTTCTTGGTTATTAGTTTTGACTGTTCATGCCTTTCTATTATTGGTCCAGTGAAGAATGATTCCAGTACCCGAATCTTAGTCTAGTTGTATTTTAAAGTTTGTGATGGTCGACTCCATATCATTCTACCAATCAAAACTCCTGATAGGGAAAATTTCGCGAGTACAAATTAATCATACAAACTGTTAATATGTATTAAGATAACCGTGTGATATTAACACGGAGAAATATTAACACTTACCTGCCCATAACCGCCCTAAAGCGTCACATTTTCCGTCGTTAAGATTTCCACCTTCTGGCACTTCCAATGTAGCTAATGTGGTTAGATTACCCGACAACCAATCAAGATGGGAGATATTTACACCAGTACCTACCACATAACCTCCACACTTTCTTGGTACCACTAGTGACACATGTTCACCTATATGATAATGAAAAAATAAATAATGGCGAGTTAAGCGACAAGTGGACGGTAGCATGACGTTTCGGTCCCCCGACCTTTCTGATTCTTCGGAATTACTTATGATAACTCGGTTTCGGACAAAAATAAATGATAAATAAATAATGGACTTGATAAAATTCAAATATGTAATCCCGGGTCCATACTTAGTCGTAAGCACTCAAGTGCCACGGTGTACCGCGGTGGCTCAATGAGTATGACTATCGTTAAAACCGGAACTGGGGGATCAAGGGTTTAATCCCGTTGTCGGCAAAAAACTTTGGATTTTCAAGTCGAGTTTCCCCCTGTCAGTAGGGCAGGAATAAGGTCTGGTAACGAGTTTCCCCTGGTCAGCAGTGCAGGACAAAGGGTTGCCCCTTTCAGTAGTGCAGGACAAATGGTGTGACAACGTAAAGGCCTTTAGTTGATCGGATGGGACGAAAACCCTAGTCTACCCAATACGCGTTAGCGTGCACATGAACGAATCCTTTAACCCTTGGAGGAGGCGAAAATGTCACGCCAGAAGCCACAGTTTCTCATATAGCACACTGTTTGACGCATAACTGTCATCTTAAGCCCTGTTGGTGTAGCAAAGTTGGACGCTAAACCCCATTTCATTGTCTGGGCTATCAATCTATTTAACATGGATAGCTCACTTTGAATAGGGTAACAAATCATTGATTTCTTTGAGTTTTACGCTTTGAATTCTTTTTGGGATGACAAATCAATACAACACATAAAACAAACCTAAATGATTTAATGGGGTTTATCACCACACGTTTCTAAACTAATTATGTTAACGAAGGTGGGCATATGAGCACAATAGACCATTGATTTGTATACCACAGATGGGGCGACGAAAACATGTATGAGGTTCCCATGGACATCTTGAGACACACAAAAAGGGAGTAGCATACTAGTTAATATGCGATTGTCCTCCTTACAATTCAACGTAACCAACCTCGTAAATCTATTTTCCTTCCGCCTCAAAATCATGAATATTCACCAAAGTCTGATATATTTAAACGCCTTTCTTCGATTCTGTACAAAAAAGTCAACAAAAAGTCGCCATGCTAAAGGGGGATATGGCAAGGTTATTATTAACAATATAACTTTTGAACTATGTGGGTAACGGGCGTAGGAATCAATTGTGTAATATGTCCATATGCCTTAATGTGGGAAATGTAGTTTCGGACAGCGGTGTTTCCGCATACTTTTTATCGAATTTCAACTTCTAAGATACAATTTTACAAGCACGCTAACGTCCTCGGGTTATCGTGTTATCCGAACGACTGACCACCCGAACTAATTACATTATTGTAACCTAAATTGAAACTATGTTTACCAAAAGTGCTTACCGATATGTCGCTTTTCTTCTATTTTATTAAACGTGTTATAACGATGCACATTGCCAACTCGCATATCTACGAAAAGCAAACTCTGGGTTAGCTCGTCCCAATGAGGCCCTTCTCCTAAAGTTGTTGTAGCATTCTTAATTATGGTTTCTACTTTGTACGACATCTTGCAACAGTAAATCCTGAAATTATAGAAATTAGAGTGTAATATCAGACGCAATCAAAACGAAGCTTAGTGGGGTTAACCTACTAATTTTCTACACCAACCTGCCATCCATTGCGCTATGAGGGAAATGTTGCAAGACAGCCTACTCTACATAGCTGTTCCGTTCCACCTGCCATTTGTTACTTTTATTGGGGGTTGGGTTGCCGAATGGTTAACGCGTGCGCGTTGGATAAGGCCTGTCATTGAATCAAGTGGCGTGATTTCGATTCCCCGCTTGTGTCACAGGGAGTAGGGGTGACTCTCCAACCTCGTGGGGGTTTCTTCTGATCTTCAGATTTCCTCTCACTGGCAAAGATCCCTACGCGCAAGCAAATTATTGAAATAACATTGAACCGTGCGTTAGTCCCGAAATGACCTAGTTTGTGTCTAGTGTACGTTAAACTCAATTTCGCTCTCTCCTAATTGTTAGTTTTATCGTCCCACCCAAGATTCAACCCCGGGCGACTTGAGATTGATATTGGTTATTCCAGAAACGCGGTAATAGCCAGTCGATGTTGCATGCGAAACAAGATACCACCACGATTGGGTTAATCCTTTCATAAATTCAACGTTACATTCCAAATTTTAATAACTGTAGCTTCTAAGCGTTCACTGGGGTTTTAGAAAAAGGGGACATAAGTTACCTCTAGAACGAATGGTAGCGGAAAACCGATAGGGTCCCTTCAATCTTGACACAGATGCTTTTATTCAAAATGCAATTGAGAGAGAGAGTGGGTGGAGCTTTTCCGTTTGATATTGAGTACTTACAACCATTACACAAAATAATGGATACAGATTGTGCTTACTCTTTTCAGAACTGCCGACAACACTAACTTCTCATTTCCTGACTCAACAAATTTACTTATCTAACGATTGCGTGTGGTAATTTCATTATTGTAATTCATAGATAATATTATACCACTTACCTGTTCGAATAGACAGTATATAGTGTGTTCCTTGCACAGTTATTATACTTATCTTAACATACATTGATAAAAAAAAACCAGATAGATAACACGTTGATAAACGTATATTATGCACACATCAGCAACCAGACTTTCTCTCTGTAATCGTGTGGTCCAACTTCTAAGATACAATTTTACATGCACGCCAACGTCCTCGGGTTATCGTGTTATCCGAACGACTGCCACCCGAACTAATTTCATTATTGTAACCTAAATTGAAACTATGTTTACCAAAAGTGCTTACCGATATGTCGCTTTTCCTCTATTTTATTAAACGTGTTATAACGATGCACATTGCCAACTCGTATATCTACGAAAAGCAAACTCTGGGTTAGCTCGTCCCAATGAGGCCCTTCTCCAAAAGTTGCTGTAGCATTCTTAATTATGGTTTCTACTTTGTACGACATCTTACAACAGTAAATCGTGTGGTCAAACACCTCGAGATAGCGGGATGCATATGAGTCATTTGTGGTTTAGCTAATATTAATTTTATCACAGGTTAATTCATGCATCTGCATAAAGTGTATTTTTGTGCATGCCTGTAGCGAATATTTACAACGTTCGGCTCTTATCTGCCCCACGTCAGCTCGTAAGCCCCATATCATCAAAGCAACACAATACAGAAATCGTAGATAATTGTAGACCTTGAACAGAAGTAGTAAAAGTCAGCATTTACAGAAACAATAGATGAGATCTATTAATTAATCAAGCTGCTTATCTATATTCTGTTTAAGTAGAACATACAAGGCTCATCCCTGAGCCTCAGCCGAAAATGGTATTCTTTATTTTAGAACACCCAATTTAGCTCATTTTAGGGTTTGACCCACCACAAATGGAAAAAGAAACGATTCCACAGGTTGTTTTACACCTTTTGCATGGCGATAATTTTTGGTGACTTTTTGGTGTTGACCCGCAGAAATTATGATTTAGAGGCAAAAGGATACAAGAGATAAGAGGTTGGTTACGTAAAGGGAGAGAGAGATAGATGAGTTTAATGTCCACTCGAAACAACCTAGGTCATTTTGGGACTAACACATGCTTCAATTTTGTTTCAATTACACGCTTGTGCGTAGGGATCTTTATCAGTGGGAAGAAACTGGAGGACTCGGAGAAAACCCAAGAGGTTGGGCAGTTGACCCTACTCCCTGTAACGTACAACATGGGAATCGAAACCATGCGAGTTGACTCAATGACCGACCATATGATACATCGCGCACGTGCTAACCGTTCGCCCCCCCCCCCCCCAGTGACGTTGAAATGTTGGGCAGACAATTGCTTGTTTTCTAATATGCTACTTTCCGTCAGTGTATTATAATATTTCAATGGTGAACCCCATACATGCTTTTTAGCAAGAGGTTAACACATGTTGCTCCATTTGTGGTAGAAAGCGTTCAACCCCACGAAATTTTGGGAAAGCTTAAAGCCTGTCAAAGAGACGAAATATAACATTAGAGTCAATGGAGACATTACTGGTGTCGAAAACACCAAGGTCCCGCGGCGTGTTTACTTTGGCAGTTGGAATTCAATAAAAACGGGCATACGCCATACAATTTTCTATGGGGGAAATTTCGAATTCCAACTATCAAGTGTTCTTTTAAGTATACGAATTTAAAACACGACGTATGTGACAAGCAGTAGGGTCGCCTGTCCAACCTCGTGGGTTTTGTCCGGGTCCTCCGGTTTCCTCCCACTGCTAAAGACCCCTACGCGCAAGCGAATTATTGAAATAAAATTAAACCATATGTTAGTCCCGAAATGACCTAGTTTGTGTCGAGTGGACGTTAAACCCCATCTCTCTCTCTCTCTCTCTCTCTCAAAACACGACATCGGAACATAAAGTCAAAAATGAAACGAAATGGGGTTTAACGTACGTTTTATTGTTCTGCTCAGACTGGATAATTAATAAACTCGATATGTGTATAAATAAGAGATTAATTTATTATATATATTAATTTAAAATAGAAATCTAACCAAAACTAAAATCTGAATTAATTACATAAAAACAAATTCATATAAATAAAACCTTATTTCAATTTGAAAATACAAATCTGGTCGAAAATGACAGGATTCGGTACAGTTTGCAAAATAATTGAATTTAAAAATTCATATTAAAATATTTTCTGTAATATTAATACACAAAATAACAATCAAAATTCATCAATGTTAAAACCAATAATATATCACAGTTTAAATTAGATCGAAATTTAAATTAGATCGTTGGACGTAAGAGAAATTAGTCGACGAAAATCGACAATCCATCAATAATTTGAAATTAAGGTTAAACAAGATACCGAGATATGCAAAGTAAGAATTAAATAATATGATTACACATTGCCTGATCAGCAATGAAAATTCGCGAGACCGTAAAACAAACACAGTACAGAATCATGACATGATTTGGCCAATCGTAATTTAGTTACCCAACATGCACACAACTAAATGTATGCATACTAAGATATAAAACAAGAAACAAACAGAATCTACGTGTATATTGAAATATGACCTTACATGTATTGTGTATATGTGACATATAGAATCTACATGTAATGTGCATAAGTGATATATCTGGCATATATAATCCATATGTGATGTTCACATTGAAATATGAAACATGCAATGTGTTTATTAGAATATACAGCGCATAATCTACTTGTAATGTGCATATTCAATTATAAAGCATATTGAATCTACATGTAATGTGCATATCAGAATATAAAACATAGAATGGGTGATCGGCGGTAAAGCTGGGTGGTAACATCTTTGTGGGGATGCCTACTGCTCCAGCAGCTGCCACCTCACTCCCCTCTTCGTTTACGACAATGAATGTCTTGTGGAAAACATCGGAAACAAAGAGGTTTCTGGTGCCATCGTTCTTTGATAATTCCGCCTTTCCTGCAATAATAGCTTCTTCGATCCCCACCGAAGTCAGACTGTCTACCAACGTCATAGATGACTCAATGCTAAACCGTGGTATACGAATCTCAACTTCATCAACTGACATTTCCGCCTGGAGTTTAGATAAAGCTGCTGAATCGAGCTTTGCGGTCGAAATTCATATCACTAACAATTCGATGAAGACGAAATGTTGTTATATGAGATTGTGAAAGGATATCTGACAATTTATACAATAGATTTAAGTGTCACGAGACAAGAAAAAGCGAGAAAAATAGAAAAGGCCATTATGTGATAATGGCTGACAACAACATTGTACTTGAACTTTAATATGAAGAATAACATTTTGTAAATTTTGGTATAATTGCATGTCATGTATAGCAAATGTGCATTATTTATACGATCTATAACGTGTATTGTTATTCATCATACGTTAATCAGATTATTATAGGTACTTTCGTAAATGTATAAAAACATGTTTTGATGTTCCGGCGGATGGTTGTATTCAAACTCGCTTGAAGACAGTTACTATTAGAGACGGCCATTGTAAGTAGGGCCGATCTGTCTCTGTAACAGAGAAATGAATGAAATGAAATGGGGTTAAAAGTCCTACTGTTCTGCTCCTATGCTGGGCTAATGAAGACGGGCATACGCCACACAGTGTGCTATGAGAGAAATTTTGCCCGGGCAGCGCCACTATCGACTACTCTTATAGCGTCTCTTCAGGCATTTATTATTATTAGGCATTTATTAGTACTATATATAATCATTCTACAAGAAAAAAAATGGAATGTTTAGATTAGTACTTAAAGATTTGTAGTTAAGGTTCAAGGTGTATCTGGGGATCACGTGGCTAAGTGGGTAAGACCCTGGTTTAATCTCACTGTGCCCCCCGATCAATTGGTGTTATATAGGGTAGTGGTGTGAAAATTTAAGTAAACAAAGGATTATAGACTGTATCCTTATTAGTACTGTTCACCTAGATAAAATGTAATTATTTAAATGATTAAAATATATAAGTTAATTTCACGTGTCATCGGTTAACGAGTATCTTAAATATTATTCACCTACCTTTCAATCAGACAGTACTCATAAATCAATCAAATATATGATTAGAAACTCACTATCATTATATAAGGATAGTTGTCACCCCCAATTACATTATATCTTTTAAAATGGCTCAAGTTCGCATACGGTTTATTCCTAATTCTCAAAGAGGTCAAAATTTAGTTAATTTGGGGTATAAGTACAGAGTAAAAAATACGAAACCCAATAGCACCCATTGGCGATGTTGCAAAACGACTTGTCCCGCAACGATCAACACATCAAATGTTATGGTAAGAAGCTACGGTCAGAACCACAACCATCCATCCGAGAAGAATGCTGTTAAAGTACAAGAGTTTATTACCTCAATGAACGCCACACTTGAACATACTTGTCAGCCAATTCCGTCCATTTATAACGAATGTTTATCTGGTAAGTTTACTCTTTTTAACGTAACAAATAATTATGTAACATTATTATATTAATATTTATTATTGCATGTTTTATCTAAATCATTCTTTTTACTTTTATGCCTGTTATTAACTATGTTCATTTATGGAGATTTCATTTTTATCATTCGAATTTATTTTATATTTGTTGGTTTTTATTTTCCAGATTTCCGACGCGATGCTGAAGATATAATCAAACATGTTCCGACATACTATAGCCTACATGCATCGTTGTACAGAGCCAGATCCAAAAATCTACCCCGACTCCCAAGTCAGCGCTCAGATATTGAACTGCCACATGCCTACAGCCATACTTCCAGAGGTGACAGGTTTCTTCTGCACCAAGATGACAACATGCTGATTTTTTCAACAACAGACAATTTGAGATATTTATCTCTTGCCGAAACGTATTTTTGTGACGGAACTTTCGAAATGTGCCCGAAACTATTTTTTCAATTGTACACGATTCACGCCTTTATCGACAATAAAATGTTTCCTTTGGTTTATGCGTTACTACCAGACAAGAAGCAGGCCACATACAGATCTTTTTTTCAAGTTTTAAAGCAAAACGCAGCAGAGAGAAATATTTATTTATCACCTGTGACCATCTTTACAGATTTTGAAATAGCAGCACAAAACGCAGCTATTGAAATATTCCAGTGCGAGCTGAAAGGTTGCCTGTTTCATTTTCGCCAAGCAATTTGGCGAAACA